TCGACACTAGAGGCTGAGTAACAACCAGTTAGTTTGTAACTAAATCAGCAACAAAAAATTGGTTGTAACATGATTGCTTCGGGCATAACTTTTATTAGTTAGTTTGGAGTGGCCAATCAGCAATCAAAGATAGAGATCTATTGCCATGGTTACCGTGCACATTAGCTTTCTGGCTGGCATGAGTCACTTGGCAAAACATAGCAGATGAATATTGAAATAGCATATCAATAAATTAGGTCTGTACTCGATTAATGTGTCACAAAATGGCTGTAGTCATTGAAAAAATGATGTTTTACCATCAGTGAGTATAATGTGACATTTTAAGATTTACACGGGCATGTGTAACTAGCTATGTAGTTTGTTACTTAGAGTTAAGTTGTAATTTTCTCTGGTGCAACGTCTTTTATTTTAGTAATGCATAAATCACAACTTATCAATAATTTACGTTATAGCTAAAGCTGGTGCAACAGGGTTGCCTGGCAACTTGTAAGCCCCCCCACACACATCGGTTCGTGCTAAGGTAAGCTAACCCGCTGCTGTAGCTTCATATTTAATGTGCAAACAGGAAAGTGTTACCAGTCTTCTCATCTGACTCTCATCCCAAATAAGCAGGTTTCCTAAAATGTCAATATTTCTTTTAGTTATTCAAAACAGTCTAAAGTTATGGGTTTTTTTTTTTTTTTTTACATAAATGAGACTAAGTCATTTGAAGACATGTGCCTAATAGCTAAATATTCAAGGTGTGTGGCTATAAGGCCTGTTTCACTGTTTTGTTTTATTGTTTAATTTTACACAAATGTGCCTCTAATGGCTTTTACATCTATACACTGTAAAATATATTTTGTCCTTGGACCCATCTGGAGAAAGAGAAAAACTCCGAAAAAATCCCTTTAAGAGGAAAACAGGAAGAAAGCTCAGGAAGAGCAACAAAGGAGGGATCTCCCTGTTAGAAAGATATGAAATTGTACAATAGTCATATGTACAAAGTAAACAGAAACAGCTATAGTGGAATTATTTTTATTCGGCCCTCTTTTATACTACAAAGACCTGGAAAGAGAACAAACTACACATACACACAAGAGGCAGTTTTACCTGGCCAAACTTTGAGACTCAAGTGTTCAATGTGGCTCAGTGTGGTTTTAGGTGTCAAGCCAAGACTTAAGTAAGTTAGGGCCAAGTTTCCTTTCATTTTTGTGTCTTAAGCAGATTTCTGTCTCAAATATACAGCAGGGCTATCGGTATCTCAAATGAAAGCCTTTCACATGTAAATGTTTTTGAAAGATTCAAAGATTGATGTGGAAATTATTTCTTCACATGTGGGCACAAGCAGAGCCCAACATATAAAAGCAGGTACTCTTATAAACAGAATGAACAATAAATTCAAAATAAATGTATTTATTTAAAGATTATATACCTAATAATTTCCTCTTGCCAGTGATATAAAGTGTACCATGAATAAATGTTATGAATAACTTATGCACAGACTTAACCAGTAAATGACAGTATCACTGAAAACAGTGTCAACAATCAAATATATACACTCTAAATATTTTGACACCAGTACCTAGATTTACCCTGTGGTCCTGCCGCTCAGTTACCCTTCATGGAAAACATCTGTCCTGACCTGGGAGTCGGAGTCAAGTCATGCAGTCGGGCACGTTTATCCATCATCAGCAATTACACTTAAAAGAAGACATGGCAACGTTGCTGTGAACCACAGGATATATATGGTAAAACACTCAAAGCTTCTTTTTGGCCATCATTTAGCTTAGTTATTGAATGATTAAAGAGATGCAGTGAGATTCGCATAGAGTATGCGTCTCAGTGAGTCAATTCATAGTCCCTTAGGTCTTTAAACACATCATAATCTCAGTGATGATCCTTCGGTTCCACAGTCTCTGGATCACTGCACACCACTGAATGCCAGGCTAAATAAAATCTAAACCAAGCTCATAATGCTGTTATGTTCTTCTTGTTAGATCTACAACCCTTAGTTCAAAAACAGCCGAAACCCCTGAGCAACTATCAAAGTGGGAAAGTGAAGAAACGCAGAACTATAGTGAACTAGGAACTTTTTGTACACCTATTAGCTGACAGTCTTTTTGTTTGTTTGCACATTTCTAGCTCTGAATGTGGATACACTGAGAGCCTGCAACAACTGCAGTCGAAAATCTTTCTGCGAGGATTCTTTGCCAATAAATAACTGGATTCTGGTAATATTAGATGAATGAGTCCCTTCTAGCTACAGCTTGTCTGATGACAATCTCATGATCAATAACCTTTCCCCCAGTATCTTTTTAATGTCACTGTCACTTTTGAATGCTATGTGACAACTTGATTTCACCTCTGATAAGTGCCTGCTGGGTGGGGTTCCTTTTCTGCTGACGCCCCCCTGTTGAGGATCATATGATGTTCTTGTGTTGCTTTGTAATGTTTTGCATATGGCTCCAGGGCAAGGGTCCAAACTCTGAGGAGAATGGTGTTTTTGTTCAACATGGATCATCCCCGAAGAGAGCGAGCGCACACGGCTGCCTCAAACAAGGTTGTCAAGATGTCCGCGGAGGCCCAGCGCCAGCACACCCCACTAGGCAGCTGCTGCCTGCCAGGCGCCCATCTACAAATAATCTACTGTGGGAGGAGCTGTCAGTCTGTTCTGTCAGGGTATACAGTGTAAATCCAATCCTGAGTGAATGTTTCAAAGCTATTACACAAAGAACTGGGTAACAATGATCATTTGAAAAGTGCTGAGAATATATAATGTTTGAATTTAAGCAAATTTAGCCAATTCTGAAACAACTATTCTGTGACTTCTGTGAGTGGATGAATTACAAAATGGTTGGGCACAGGCGCAGGGGCCCCCTTCAACCCCTGCAGTCACAGAGCCTCTGTTTGAAGTGACTGTTAACATTTCTTCTTGGAAAGTCATTCAAAGTATTGACAAGAGACGCAAAACAACCACAAAGAGACATATAACGGCCAAAAAGATGCAAAACGCCTACAAAGGAACACAAAATGACTACAAAGATAGATGAAAACTACCACAAAGACATGCAAAATAAGTACTTCTGTAGAGATTATTTACAGGTATATCATTATAAAAGGTGTTGTATTGGGTAGTATCTACATACTATCAGAAATGCAGTGACAGTTTTTCTGGTGTGCAGCACTATGAAGGTGCATTTGAACTCAATTTAGGCAAAAATATTTAGCTTTTCGTGTTTTGTAATTGATATTTTGCAATTGTTAGATATTTGGCAACCTCCCTCGGTGCCTGATCAGTGGCATGCTGCTTTGATATTACTGTAGGACACAAGGCATCGTGTTTTATTATTTCACAGTGAACAACACATCTGCTTGTATTACAGAACAGCCAATCACATTTTGACAGCCCCGTGATCAGGTGGCATGTCAAACTCCATTAAGCGTGACTGTGATAGCTACAGGGTCCATGCCATAAATTCCTAAGTGTTCTGTTCACACTTTTTGCTTTGATATTTTTAGTTCATCTCAATTTCCTGCAACAATGGTTTGACCACTTCTCATAGAAAATCTCTATGTAAAATGCTGCAAAACCCCCAGTGGTATGGCTTTACCCTCATTGCAAATTGCTTACAGACAGTCGAGTTAACCGCAATCAGTTTGTATAAACAATATGAGAATATAGCTCATGCTACCAAGCCAATACAGTGTCTCACAGGCCTTGGCTGCCGACACAAGTTATGTAAATGCTAAGGCGACAAGGCAGATCCTGAGAGGTGCCCGGTAGGGACCAGGGCCATCATGCCAACTCTGAACCTCTGAAGCCAGACACATCAGAGAAGCCCTAAAAAGTTGTTCATTTTACTTGAAAGGAAAATAGGAAGGACATAAAACTCTCTTTGAGGAAAATTTGTTATGAAATAAAAACTGAAAGTTAATTTACGACCCAACCTTGCTGTTCAGGCCCATTCTCAGCTCCAGTATCATGGTAAGCCTGAAGTCAGCGCTGTCTCTGCCTGGTCATCATGGCAACTCCACCGCCAAGACATGAAGTCATAATGCATCAGCATTCATCTTAAGCTGCCAAGTAAATCTTGAAAACACTACTAGGTTGAGTAAAGATACTGACTTTAGATGAACATAAAGCAACAAGCCCTTAAACCTTCAGTAGTTGAAAAAAAAACATCTCCCTATTAACGGTCAGTTTCATTCATTCCCTCCAGATGGGTCCTTGAAGTGGTTTTTCAGAGGGTTTGTGCCAAAACAACTATAAATGTTAAACCCTGTTGTCAGAATACTTTCCTCTTTACACTTTTATTTTCCCATGTACTGATTCAAGTGATTATAGGAACATCTGAGCTTCTTCATGTGAATGTTAATGCCTTCAAACAACAGCCTGCAGTTTGAAAGTGAAAGAGGAGAGGTGAGGGCAGCAAACAGGTGGGGAGGAAAAAACCCACTGCAAACCTGTTTTATAAAGACTTCAGCAAAAGACTGAAGGAATTGGGGATTGTGGGAAATGAGTGGTGATAAATATAATATATGGTAAATAAATGGTAGACAATCTTTAAAAAAAAAAAAAACAGGATCTCTGTTTCAGACATAAATCTCTACAGAGTTATTTAGCCTATATTACATAGAGATGAGTGTCCTCTAAGGGTCTATAGGAATATAAAGCTGATTTATTGCTCGTAGTGACTCTTGAGGTCCTCTCTTTGGTAGCTACAGCGTTAATAGTCCTGGGAAGCCCCACCTCCACCACCACCTTTTATGTTAATTTCAGCGTGATCTGTGCGCGGACTGAGGGGAGCCGCTGAGTGCTGGATCTGTTGGCTGCCGATTGCTTTAATGTCGATGAGGCTTTGGATAGACACAACCTGCCGCTGAATCAACTGTCGGGACTTTTATTTTGTGAACGGAGTCGTGTCCGTCTCATGTCGCTGCTGAGGACGCGCAGCCGAATGTGAAACGTTTGTGGATCCAGCAGTTAGAGAAGAGGTGAACGCACCTTGCATCCAGCCATGGGAGGTCAGATCACCAGAAATACCCTCTACGGTAAGGGACAGCTGGCATCCTGTGTTGATTCTTTATTATTAGCTTTTGTTATAATAGAAGATGATATAATCGAGTTGTAATCGTGCTTGTGCAGCCTCAAGCCTTTGTGCATGAATATTGTAGGCGTCCTGGCAGCCTAAAATAAATGAGAAGAGAAAGTAGCCAAGTTTTACCACCTTCTGGAAGTCACGACTTTAATAAAAAGGAAATAAATTTGATAACCTTCCACAGCATCATACTCTAAAACATCACAAGTTGCACTTTTATTTTTATTTTTTGCATTGAAGCCTGCTTAAGTTACAGTTATAGTTAAAAGAAATCAAACAGGACAAACTCATCCAAGTTGGTACATAACTTTTTCCACCTGGCTTGTTGTTTGTCTTGACGCCCACAGTTGAAAGTGATACAGACCTAATGGATGTCAGCATGTTGGCAATGGTGTTTATGCTTCTGTGTGGCAATCAATTGATCATGTATGTTAGGCTATAGATGTCTAAAGTGATGATAACAGGTGCATTGGACGTTTTTATTGATCCGTTTTCACATTAAAGTTTCTTGCAGGAGCATTAATGTCAATTAATTAACATAAGATACAATTTAGTGTTTAATGTCCTGAGTTATTAGTTGGTTATTAGCAAATGTAATCTTAATGTCTGATTGTTTCATATGCTTTCTGACAGTGATACAATTAATTATTTACTGTATTATAATATTTATTGCAGTTTAAATGTCCTGAACACAATACGTTTGAAAGCAAGGCATGAATGTAAAGTGTGTTTCACTCATTAGTGCTCTTTTATTCAGACTTCTGCATATTAATTGTTTACTTTATATTCTGATAAAATCTGATCAAACATTCGTCTAGGAGATAAGTTGATCAGAAAAGAACCCAGGAACTATGATGATAGACAGTTAATACATAAATAATGTAAAGTAAAATGCTAAATGTTCTCTGGTTCCAGCTTCTCTGATGTTTTATATGACTGTAAATTCAATGTCTTTGGACTAAATCGGCAATATAAAGAAGTTACCTTTAGCTTTCGGAAATTGTGATGGACAGCTTGTCAGACATTTTATAGACCAAACAATCAATTAATTAAAGAAAATTATCATCAAAATACTCTGTAATGGAAGTAATAATTAGTTTCAGCCCTGATTGATAACAATTGCAGTAATTAAGTTTGTACGGCTCATTTCTCATGAAGTTGGTCTTCAGTTCAGTCGTCTTTAGATGTTTTATGAGCTGACTTCAATCATGTTGTTTGGCTATAAAGAGGACATATGTAATGTATAATGCTTTTTTGGTTTTGAGCCGATGATTTTAATTGACACAGTACACAACCAGGCAACAGTAAACATCTCATTTCCCAGTTGGACAGATGGACACGGGCCAATCCTTACAGTCCTTTTTCCAATTTCACTGTTAGGGGCCACTATAACAATATAACAATATAGGTGCAGGCAGGGTCGCTGCTACAAATTCTTGGCCCTCTGACAAGAGCTCAGTCAGGGCCCTCAAAATGTAATCCATGTTATGTTGCAAGGCCCCTTACCAGCTCACAAGCTCATGATTTATTCAGCTCTCCCAGTTTGGCAGCTCTGCATCATTCTGTTACTGAAGAACCAGTTTTTAAAGAAAGGAAATTAGTTCTATTTCTTGACTTGAGGTTTTTTTTTTTAAGTTTTAAATGATTATTGCAACATTGAGATTTAAAGTAACAGGGATCACTAGCTCTTGTTTTCTTGTTCAACAGAAACTGTGCTTCAGTTTTGGCTGGTGTCCTGTCATTTAGAAAATAGCTCCAGAACCAGCAGCACTGATGAGTCATTACTTAGCATTACTACAGCTGCAAGTTGATTAGTTTATTCATTTAGCTGATCGTCAGGAAACTAATCAGCAACTGTTTTGATAATGATAATTAATTCTTTTGAGTCTTTTTTTAAAGAAAGAAATGCCAAAATTGTCTGGTTCCAGTTCCTCAAAAGTGAATTAGTTTCCTTAGTCCTTGAATATCTTTGGGTTTTAGACTGTTGGTTGGACAAAACAAGACATTTGAAGCTTCGTGAGATTGTAACAGGCATTTTTACACTATTTTCTAGACCTGAGGATCAATCCATTAATTGAGAAACTAATCAACTGATTAATCACTAATGAAAATGATGGTTAGGTACAAATAAACAGAACTGTAAAAGTAATGGGAATGATACACAGTGATACTGAGATGTTTAAGAATCACTTGTTGTTTAGTTCTTATTAAAACCACACAAGCTACGAGACATTTGAAATCACAAAAAACCTACATGTGCCCTTTAGCTCTCCAGCATGCTTCCTGTGAGTGCTTGTCTTGTGAGAGGGGGCCACTGAGCCCTGATACTGACGTCACACCATAGCAAGACCGAGCCTGGGGATAAAACACAGGGGAGCGTAAGAGGCCAGGTGACACTGGCCAGGGCCACTCATTGTCTCTGCACTGTTTGTCCTTTCCGATTAATGACAGTAGAGGCAGTCACATTGTGTGCGGTGGTGCATTAAGTAACATTATCCTCCCTTAAGTTGCTCATCTGACATTCGTCATGGCACCTCTCTTTTATCATGGCAGGGCTCTGGTCACTGTTTACCCTGATGTCTCCGTCAGGTTGCATGACTTTTTAAACACACTTCAGCAGCCACTGTATCATCAGCACTGTTGGCTCTAACCAGCTGCCATCTACAGTAAATCAAATGTGGTATTTTTATTTACCCATTTATTTACTTTATTCATAGTTTATACAGTCCTCTGTGTGCTCCGGATGCTGTAAACCCTCTCCAGGATGTGAAAATAAAGCTGCTCCAGAGATGATATTTAAATAGTGAGAATAAAAGACGATATTGGATTAGAGGATGAAGGGTGAGTGCTGCTACGCTATCTGCAGAGGCCTGTGAGGTGTTGCTTCTGTTTTCAGACCTTACAGGAAATACTCTATTCAGTCTTGGGCCTCTGTCATTGAGAGTACAATACAGTCCTGTTTGTTTTCCTGAAGACATCACGTCTGACATGACATCATGGATGCAATATGGTTGAAGGATTTGTTATGACTTCATTTAAGACCACTGTTGTGCACAGAGCACAATTCGACATTGTTCTGCAGGGACAAGAGCATGCGAAAAGCTTAACAAATACACTGTACTGAGCCCAGAACACTTGGCAGAGCCTCTCTGATTGTGATATGAAAGGAAACACTCTTTCTAGTTTATCCTCAACAAATTATAAGTTTTTAACATCCACCATCCGCCGCTCAAGCCTAGTGGTGTTATAACAGACCTAGTTTCAAAAGTCACATGACTAGTGATCGTCAAGCCTGACTGTCTTAATTGATTGGTCTCCAGGGTAGACAATAAACCTCTTGACCCTCCAAGGTCACTCAAAGGAAAGCAAGAATATCTCTCTTTCAGCAATGGTAATGGTATTTCTCTCACAGACAAATAGAAGCAGCTCCTACACAGTCTTCCAAATTTAGGTGTGAAAATACAAGCAGTTCTCAAGGACGAAGAAGTGTTAATTAGGCCTAAATTATTTATTTGGCTTCCAGTCTTGGCACATTTTATGGCACTTTAAGACTGTTAAATGTCATTGCAGAGAAGACTCAAGTACTGTAGTGTAGGAAACTGTAACAAATCTCTTGATGAGATGATATTCGTACGTTACCAACCAATTCTAAATAATCCTGCCTTACATTTAACGAGAACCCAATGTCTGTGAGAAAATGCCTTCTCCACAACATCACAGTGACCTTGGCATTGTGCTTTGAAGAGAAATGTCGAAACAGAAATGGGGAGAGCTGGTCCTAATGAAAGGGAGTGAGTGCAATATCAGGCTCATGATGACTGTAAGCATAAAACCCAACAGAGAGATGTGATGTGAAAAAAAGATGTTTTGCTCTATTATGAGTTACTGTAAGTGGGAGCAGTCATGATTCACACATGTTCACATGGGAAAAAAGTCCAAAACTCTGCTGCATATTGTGAGTCAGATGTTCTCCTTTGGGTCTGCTCTTATTTTGCCACTTCCTCTGACTGGCTAAGCACAATATATGTCACTTAATCTCATTTAGTGGCAGCTATTTTGTATGTATCCTTTTCATTTATTTGTCATGTAAGGCAGGTAGTGACTCTCAGGCATAAATATTTTGATTGATGTTAAAACATGAAGCACAATTGGAAATAAGATGGATGGACGTAACAGCCATGCCTCGCTATTATAAGAGTAGCTTTGAATATGTTGTATCAGTCAGCTGAAAATAAAGCTACACATCAAGAACTTGCTTTCTGTTGCGCTAATTTAGCTGTTAGGGATGCTATATGACGTTAGAGCACATTACATGTGAGGTAATCATTTGTGTTTTCTTTAACCTTCCTCTCCTCTCTACTGATTATTGTACAATGTGTTCCAGCACAGTCAGAAACAAATCGGTTTAAAATCTGGCAAGATGTAGAATAGCAAAAAGTGAAATTACTCTTTACTGAAATTAGAGCATGCACTTCTCACAGCTGCATTGTTCTGCTTAATTACATAACCAAGGGAGCAATTCTGTCCTCCAGTATTTTTTTTTTCCATCCAAGGACATTTTTCCATGTAATTTACCTTGCACATTGTTCTCTAATGTCTGCAGCAGTTGTGTGTTTGCACTGTGCTACCTTGAAGCATATTATTAGATTCTATTAATGTATTTTTGCTTGATTGGATGTTTCAGGAGCTGGTAACATATGTATGAGGAAATTAAATGTGACAGCAGATCGCAACCTGGAGTTCACCTTATGATGTCATTATATAATTTAAAGGGAAGCCTGCTGTGGTACGGACTATCTAATCTAATCTTCTAATTTAACCTAAAGTGTGGCATTTTACTGTAAATTATAGGAATGTAAATATATATTGCAAAAAGGTTAAATTCACAATATATACGTGAGGGATTCAAATTGTGGTATGCATTGTATTCCACTGTTTATACCCTACCTAAAAAATATCTTTTTAATTTGATAAATAAAATAAGAGAAAAACCCAGTGTTGTGAATTTTATCAAATTGTGTTTTGTTACACCCCTTGATAAATCGTCCCCCAAGAAGAATTTATTCAGTAATGTATTTTCTGCTTCCCACCTGTGGACCAAACTAAGCAAGCACTTTTCTTTCTCCACGTAGATTCTCTGAACGGGCCGTTTCCTGCCACATCCCACAGATGCCACCACAAGCCCAAGCGTTGCCTGCCCATCCAACCATGTGGGAGTTTGTCCTCTTTCCCGCTGCTCTTCCACCCCAGCACCAAGGGCTCGCAGATCGTCATGGACATCTCCCAGAGGACCGTCAAGAGACAGGCCAGCTTCTGTAACGCCATCACATTCAGCAACAGGCCTATCGCTGTGTTTGAGCAAGTTCGGCTAAAGGTAAAAAAAAAAAAAATACACTAGCTAACTACTTAGAGTTTATTCTCATTCTGATAATGTTTTGAGAGATTGATTTTAAATGTTGGGAAATGACAATAAGAGGTCAACTGAAAAATTCCAGTGTGCTGCATGCTAAATATCACTGGGTTAAAAATTGACCCAGTTCGGATACACTCTCCCAGTATGTTTTTATTTTCCTTCTCCCTCCCTGTCTGTCTCTCTCTGTTCATCCCCCTTCTTTGCTCCCTTGTTTTGATTTTCTCTCTTTTCTCTCTCTGCTCTTGTGTGGGCCAAAGCAGCAGCAGCTTAGAACAAGTTTCCACTTCACCTATCAGGCCATCTATGTCTCGAAAGTGAGAGAGCAGGGCAAGCATTGCCATGTGAGGAATACTGTTATCTGGCACGGTAAATGCAAAGTAAATAGAGGTTTGAAATAAGACAAAAATCGTTTGCAGGTGATAAACATACCAAGGTAACTGGTCGTAGTTTGCTTAAAAGAGAGTTTTAGCCACACTGATGGCACTATGGATGGCAATGTTGGCGTGTGTTGGTCCAGACTAGAATTTCTCAGCTACTATTGGATAAATTGGAATGAAATTTCTTAACTGAGTTCTAGCGCCACCATCTGGTCAAAATGTTGATCTACTTTGTTTTACGACCAAATATCTGCAAAACGAATGACATTCCCACTTTGGGTTAATGTTAATTAGAAAATGTTAGCATGCTAACATGCTAAAATAAGATAGAGAACATGTTAATTATTAATTATTTTACTAAATACAAATCATTCACGTATTACAAAAAATACATGCAGCATGTTAGCATTCTTATTACGAGCATGTTATTGTGCTGCTTTTAGCACTTAGCTCAAAGCACCAAATTACAGCCTCACAGAGCTGCTAGCATGGCATCTCTGACTTTTTAGAAAATAATATGTAAATGTGAAGATTAATTATAAAGTTGATCCTTCATTCATTATAAACATGTATTCTCCAGATCACTAAAAAGCAGTGCTGCTGGAGCGGTGCTCTGCGTCTGGGTTTTACAACCAAAGACCCATCGAGGATCAACCCAGACACTTTGCCGAAATACGCCTGCCCAGACCTGGTCTCCCAGAGCGGCTTCTGGGCAAAGGCCCTACCAGAGGAGCTCTCCAATGAGGGGAACATCATCTCCTTCTGGGTGGACAAGAAGGGCCGGGTGTTTTACCGCATCAACGACTCCAGCCCAATGCTGTTCTTCAGCGGGGTACATGTTTCTGAACCTCTGTGGGCTCTAATAGACATCTATGGCCTCACAAGGGGGGTCCAGCTGCTAGGTGAGTCATGCATTCAGAACCAGGTCCTTTCTGAGAAAAGAATAAATAAGGTTTACAATTAGAAAATTGTAAACCTTATTTATTTTTGGACTTCAAAATGCTTTACCACTGGAAAAGATTCTGCATCTGATGTTTTTTCAGTGTGAATGTTAAAAGGTGATGTTACACACAGCTGCTCTACTTTTCCCACACCCACAAAATAGCTCAGTGGAAAAAGATGGTGGGAGATTAGTTAGATTGGATAGTTACCACGGTTGTTAGTATCAAAGAAATGTCCCTAAAGGGGGAATTTCAAAATGTCTGAAACCCTCTAACAAGTTCTCCGTGCTGTTTAAAGGGCCATTACATCAAAGAAATTAAGAGTAAACAGGTCCCACCAATCATTAACAGCAGTTTTTCACCGCACTGAATCATCTCAAGAATGTTTGGATTGTAGATTCAAATGCATTTATGAAACACATCATGTACTGAACAGCTGTTTCCAATTTTTTAAAACAATACAAAACTATGCAAAATAGATAAATAGGAATCATTTTAGACGCCTCAGTACGTATTTATAACCATTTCCAAGAATTGCACAGCCTCTCTCCAAAGAATAAAGGCTGTCAGCACCGTTAATAAAAATAGAAGAGGCTCCCATATTGTGTAGATAGTGCCATTTAACCTCATTTCTTGCGGTGTGGTTGACAGCGAGAAGCGTGCTATCTCGTGATGGGCTGTTTGGTATCCAGTGGCAGAGTGCGACTATCTGGGGTTCACTGGCCTCTCGGTGCTGACCAGCACACAGCTCTTGTCGAAGAACAAGAAGAGTGTGTTGGTCATCCCAATTGGACAGACAAGAGGAGGGATGATGTCAGGTAATGACATGTCTGGGGTGTTTTTTCCAAGACAATCAAACCAGTGGAATGTCTCACTCTTTGGATCCAAGTCTGAATTCAAGTGACATGTTATCACCATGCAATCGCCCCTAATACAGATTCATATGTTTAAATGAGAGGACTCTTCACCAAATGTTATGGGTTAATAGCGTTTTACAATTAAAGTAAAAGTTTCCCACAATGTATAGTCTTAGTTTGTGTAATTTTTGCATGTGAATGATGCCAGCAGCCCCTAAATCCCACTGTTTCTACTTTGGTTTTCCCACATTGATCACCTTCATCCCCACATTGAAGGCTTAAACCAAAAAGCCTCTGCCCTCAGTCAGCTGAAGGATCACTTGGCTATCAGCTTTCCGCTATAGCCCGAGAGCGTCACTACTCGAGAGCATGGTATATCTCAAAAGCCCAGTATTGTCTCGGCAGTTGGCTGCAGTTCAACAAACACTTAGTCTCTGAAATATGGGCGGACACATCAAAGTCTGGTGCTGTGAACTGGCACATGTGCATATTTTCCTTTAACAGAAGGGTGCATTTTGATTCTTAATGATGCTTACGCTAGGGTCTGAAATTAATGCTGCACCAGCTGATAAATTAAGCCACATTTCACCTGTTGTGGGCTTGTTATCACACAAGTTGTCCAGGTGGGAATTACAGATCTGCTGCAGTTGTTATTTTTTTTCCACAGGAGACAAATGGAGCGTGGAGCTGTGAATAAGCTCTGTGGAGTGTAGAAAATGGCTTGGTTAGGTGACCTTGATTTGGCTTTTGAGATAAATGCTCAAGACAGGAAGAATATAATAGAAAATAAGTTGTGATAAACCTGTTGTCTAAGTCAGTGAGATAATCTGTTTTAAGAGCTTTATGTGTATTAAAGGGCCACTTCACCAGTGTTACATATAAAGATCTACTTCTCACTAAGAGAACTACAGTACTCAATCTGTGAGACAATTGTATAAAGTCGTATGTGGCTTCGAAAGGAGCTTTTTAAAACAGTACTCCACTTCATGGAAATCACAAAAAAATATCAAAATTGATGCAACAGAACCAGAGATATCATCTTATTTATACCATGCATTCTTCTTCCTTGTCAAAACATTGTCTGCATCAAAGGCTGCATTATAAACTGGAGATGTGTGGGGTTTGAAACAGGCTGTACAGGGAAAAGTCGTGTTCTGTGACTCCGCTGGCTCCCGGCTAATCGTGCAGTGTCTGTGGAGCTGAGGCGGGTTGAATGA